TTTTCCCCCCCCCCCCCCCTCAGCGCCGCCTGAGGGGGCGCGCGGGAGAGAGCGGGAAACCATTAGCCACGGGGTACCCCGACCCCAGGCAGCAGGGGCCGAGCCGGCCGCTGATTGGCTGAGATTTGCCGCAGTTCCGCCCCCCCCAGCTCCCCTCACACTCCCCTCAACAGTCGCTCCCCAACGGTCGTTCCTTAACGGTCGTTCCCCGGCGGCTCCTCAGGGTTCCTCTCGCCTCCCCCGGGCTTCTCTCGCCTCCCCCCTCTACCCCGGATTCCCCTCTTCATGGCGGGCAGGCCTTGGGTGCTGGCGGGGAGCAGCGCCCCGTGAGGTGAGGAGAAGGACTCTCCCAAGAAGGGCCTTCATTTCCATGCCAAACCCCCCTCTGCCTGCCCGTCTGCTTCCCCCCTGCCCCTCAGGAGGGGCTTTTCCTGTCAGTTGGGAGCTTTTTGTGCCGGTGGTGGGGGGGGTGAAAAGCAGAATGTGGTTCTGAGTCCAAGCAGAGGGGAGAAAACGCCAAAACCCTAATCCCCAAGGTTTTTCACAACATCATCCATGAGGAACTGTGAGTTTAGCTGGACTTTGGTATAAATGCTCAGCATGAAGATGTGAAGAAACTCTTCCCTAGTTAAAACCGGGTCACCAGAGAACTCTTTTAAAATAAAAAGCGTGTGTTTTCAGGCAGGTCATGCTGCAACGTGGTTCTTATGGCTGTCCCCCAAATACATCCATCTCTCCCAAGGAAACCCAGGGCAGTTACCAGCCAAATAGCCCCATTTCTCACCTTCTTCCCCACAGTATTGCTTAATTCCAGATAAATCTGATACAGTCCCAGAAAGGGATTTGGGGGACCTTTTCATGCCCGCAGGTGCCTGGGGGGGGGGGGGGGGGGGGGGGAGGGAGAATCCTTGGTCCTAAAGCAGCGAGTACATCACATCAAACATGACTATGTTAAATACTAAAATGTTCAAAGTACAACTGAGATAGATAAGGGGGGGGGGGGGGGAGCAGGGTGCTCCTGCGGAGGGAAGGGGTAATGAACTTGGCTCTTCCTTAGAGGTAATAAACTTGGCTCTTCCTTAGAGAGCGGGGCAGGGATTTGAATGTGGGATTCTGGAAATCCGGTTTTGCCAGTTGTGTTTCTCAGGAAACTCCTTGAGCTCTTGTTGCCTCTGCAGGTCCTGTTGGGTGAAGAAACTGCTCCTGCGTTACCCCGTGGCTGGTGGCAGATGTCACAACCGCCCTGGTCACGCTTGTGTGCTCTCTTTAGACCTCCTAGTACAGGCCTCCTTTTCCCTTAGCAACTATTTTAACCCTAGTGCAGGTAACACTTACACAAAAGGCTTATCTTTCGTCTGTGGTGTAACCAAGAACTAACAGAACTACCCCTTGCCATTCCCACACATTCCAAGATGATGAGTTCGCCTTTTTATCCCTTTACTCCTTCTCCTCCCTAAATAAAATCAGTTTTAAAAAATTACTGCTGAGGATATAAACCCACGAGGGTCTCTCCATGGCGTTCAGGGAGGATGCTCTCAAGTTTCTTTATCTATATTTTTATGTGATGAAGGGGAAGCTGCTGTTCTCACGG